AAATCGCTAGGCAGAAAAGCTGACGGAATTTGAAGAACATTACTTTCGTCGACGTTTGTCGGCTTTGCGATCGACACGATAACGTCAAAGAGTGGGACTTCGATAAATAGGAAAAAGATAGGGAGACGTTTTCTCGTTGAGTACGAGGGGGCGTTTCTCAACTTTCGTCGCATTTGTCGCTCACGTAATAGTCGCCCTCACTCCGAAGTTTTGTACGTGTGTATCCCCCATTCCTCGCTTTTTCATAGGATTTACATGTTGTTATGTTCGCACTTTCGTCGCGCTATCTTTGCCTTCATCCGCCGCGCGCGAGGTTTCCTTCCAAGCGAAATTGAAATTTCTGCATTGCGGATATAAACGTCGCTCCCGCTCTGGCATTCTATTTGCATGTATTTATTACGTAAAGGTGAGGAGTTGCAGATATAAATAAATGTAGAGAGAAAGATATTTTTGCTTCCCTCTCCATTTTTATACAGATATACATTCCTATTTATAATATATGTATCTATTATATATATATATATATATATATATATATATATATATATTTACAATATTATTGTTAGAGTCATATATATATATATATATATATATATATATATATATAATAAATATTTTACTAATCTAAATATATATATAATTTATCATTCGAATTGAGATAGCGTATAATAAGACACAAATTGCGGAATTAAACTAATTAAATTAAGTGCATGAAATTGATAAAAAGCAGTAATAAATGAATCATAATTAATAACTAATTTAAAGTTCAAGAAACAAAATATTTCATATACATATTTAATCTTTATTGCATTAAACGTTTTACGGCAACAACAAATTAATTGAATTTACTCAGCGTTTAAACTTAATTTCTTGCCTATTATTGTTGTTTATTACGGGGATTTATTTAATCAAAATCTGCCATGTAAATAGTCGGCGAATTTAATTATATTTTCGAATATATGTGATGTTTATCTTCAATTTTGACTGGCATATTTATTCACTTATACAGTAGAAATATAATCTCATAATTATAAAATATACTACAAATTATATATTATATTACAAATTATATATTCTATTACAAAATTGTATAATATAATCCTTCCAATGGGTATGCCTTGACGTTGATAGGAGAGCTCAATATCTAAAAGGTTTATCCTGAAGGAAAAGCTACGTAAAAAAATATTGCAATGTCCGTTTTTAGTGTGCTGCAAATTGTATATCATGTTTTTTCGAGATCTCGATTTCACACTTATAATTCCCATCAAGCACTTCTGATAAAAAATTAGAAATTTTATTGAACATTTCTGGACAAGGCTCAATAAAAAATACTCCGACAAGCAGTTCAAGCCCGAGAAAAATTCATAAAATTAAAATAAAAAATTAAAATAAAAAAATGTAATGCAATGAAAGGCAATATAAATATCTGTTTGCAGATTTATAATAGCAAAGTTCGCTAATATTTTCTAATCTTAATTATCCTTGAATTGTACGTTTAATTATTGTGGCTTACAACTATTTTCAGTATTACTATTTTCAGTGTTACAATTTACAATAATTTACGATATTATTCACGCTGAGGTTAAATGAATAAATCGAAGAGTTGAAGATAAATAAGTCGTGAGATTGCTCCAATAAAACCAATACCTATATCTTTTTCCTTCCAATAATTCCCGATAACTACTAATTATATAATCATTTCCAAGAATAATCGTTAATGTTTTGCCTATTTTTTCACAAATATTCAGCTATCAAATAAATATAATATTTGCATGGCAATGGAATAATTAATTAACGAATCGAGTTCGTAGCAGATACGACGAGATCGAGAAAAAGGGGCGTCGACGTCTTCGATAAACCGCGCGCGACCGAAATTTTCAAATCTTAATTGCGGTGAAATGGTGTGTAATGACGTGAAATATTGCCCAGAAAAAGATGCTGACTCTTATTACGGCCGAGCGGGCTTCGAATCTTTTAATCTGAAGCCTCCCAGCTCCGCACCTGCAGGAGAAAATGCTGACCCGCCAGTTCCACTGCCAATCTGTTACGGTCGCGAGAGAGTATTCTCTTGTGCGCTTTTTTCATTTCTCCTTTCGCGTTTTCCTTTATCTAACCTCATCGCCTTCCTCTGCCGCGACAACTCGAATTTTCATGCATGATTTTTTTCGCTCGATCTACTTGCGCGACGCAGATGTTCACATGTGCGAAATCGAAGATAGGAAAATGACAATTTTCGCGAAAACCAATACTTAATCGAAACATTGCTGAAGATCAATTAATCAAATTTCGGCCGCTTTTATTATTTTTTATATAATATATGTATATTTTTTGTATAATATTAATATAATATTTTTATATATATTTTAATTGGTTTTTATATAATATTTTAATTAAATTTTTTATATAACATTTTAAATATTATTTTTGTTAATTTTATAATTTTTTCAGAAATAATTTCTTTATGATTAAAAATCGAATACTTTTGAAATTAGATTGAAGAATTATTTCCAGAGTAATATTACATTGTGTCTTACTTACCTTTTTCTTTCTTCTTTGTAATAAGTCCTTTGGCATATTGCACATATAACATGAAGCGTATATAAGTAAAATATATAGAATTGAAACGATAAACCGGAACTTTCTCAATTCTTGTACCGTCGTCTTTCAAAGGCGAGACAAAGGAGACAGAAAATTCGCGTATTATCTTTACTCGCGGAATTCTCTCGCGGAGGCACCGAAGCTCGGCTCGTTGCCAATTAAGCGCGGACGGTTCGTTAGCGAGGAACGAGTCGCGGCTTTATTTTAATCTCAAACAATGGTCAAGAGCTTCGACAAGTTTCACACCGACTGCATTTTATTTTGCGCAACACTTTGTTTCGCCACGTTACATCGTCGCGTTTACACGCCGGTTGCTTAACGGGCCTTATTTATTCACCCGTCATAATTATAACGCCCTCGCTCGTGTTTAATGGGACGAATATCCTGATGAAATGTCACGTCTACATAGAACGCGGCAGTTTGGCAAAATTTATTTCCCAACAAATATACAAACAGCGTAACATCATATAGTAGCTTCGCTTTCATACACTAATTCGAAAATCACAGATGACTGATCACTCCTGACACGTCAATTGACCACGCACCAGTTTTATGATAAACCACAAACATGCGATCACTGTTGCATTCAAGCCTCGTTGAAAATAAAATTTATGGATATAAAAACTTTTATGGGTATTATTTTGTATATAGTGTATAATCTGTTATAAAAAGGATATAAAGAGTGTCCATCAAATCTATTCCCATCGCCAACTTTACGTCTTGCTTGGATTTCTTTTTCGAATTAAAAAATTTAAAAATTATCTTAAGTTTACTGAATTTTTTATGATTTGAATAGGACTTAAAAAGAACTTAAAAGATGAATACTTTAACACCTCGAAAGTTTTTTTTTTAGGATTTTTCAAATGGTCTTAATTGAAACTTAGATGACTTATTGAAATTAGTCTTTTTCGAACTTTGACCCTAAATAACTCTTGAACGGGTCAATGTATCAACCTCCATTTTACACCAAAAATTATTTTTTATGTCCTTTTAAACGATATAGAAAAATATAGGAAATTTTATTTGAAATTTTTGAGTTGAGATCCGTATAGGCAATCCCTTTAAAAGAGTAGTTCCTCTAAATGATTAAACACATATTTTGCTGTTTTTCATCATTTTGAGCTGATATGGATTGGAGACAGACTTCATGGACATCCTGTATATATTCTACTTAATAGAATAAAGTGATACATTTGTGTCAAATAGAATTAATTTGATAATTTCTTACAAGCAACAATCACACAATTCTTTACATTATAATTCTAATGATGATTACTTGATCAACGATTTCCATAATTTCAATGAATACTAGTGGCTGTTAATTAATAATTTGGAATTGATTAATTTTATCATAATTTTTATTAATTAATTGTTACAACAATTGCATACAAGGTGTCTGACATAAAAAGTCACCTAGAATATACAAGTAGATCTCGTTATTTGAAAACGATTTTTCCTCAGCAAAAATGTCGAAGAAAGCCATACCATATTTTTTAAATGTTCCCAATTTTTGCCATCATGTATCTTTATAACTAAACCTTAAATTAAAATTATATAAAAAAAACTCTACTTGAAATTAATTGGAGAATGTGGTTTTATTAATATTTTATTCCCACAAAGTTTAGATTGTGAAAAACCCTTTATCTTCAATCGCTTATATCTCGAAAATTATTGATGCTTCAATATTTTTGCTAACAAAAAATTGTCTCCAAATAACAAGATCTACTTGTAGATTTTTGGTGTGAAATATGTCAAACAATCTATATAGAATCGCAACAGAATTGTCATCCAAACACTATAATTATAAGTTTGGAAACATACCTTACATTTTACAGTTAAAGAATTGCATGGCAGCAATCTGTTATAAATAATAATGTCGTTTAAATATTTTACGTTTATTTTATGATTTATTTATACAAAAAATCTGCACAGATCTGTCAAAAGAATCCTCTTAATTTAAGAGAAAAATTCTCTAAGAAAATATTCTTCAATTAGATATTCGTAACATACAGAATATAAACTTAATGGGATGTTTTTTATCAATATATTATTTGAAATATTATTAATCGTGATAACAAAAAACAGTCTTATAAATTGACATTTGTTATTTATTGCATACAGTATCCTTCACAAGTTCGGAAACACTTTACATTTTACAGTTAAACAATCGCATGGCAGCGATTTGTCATAAATAACAATGTCCTTTAAATCGATCGTTGAAATTCCTTCGCACTACCTCACGTATTTAGCCCGTATGTCACAGTATTCCTGATTGACCCCACTGTAACCATCTCATCCGGATTCACGAAGGCGTAATGCGCGCGACAGGGCCGTAGCGTCTAGATGGGTGCAAAGGGGCGCAGGCGCCGTGCCCAAGAGAGACCCTCAGTCGTCGGCGGAAGCTGAAACGTGCGGGTTCGGGGCCGGCCGTGGACTGTAAAACGGTGACGTAGGTGTACACATTTTGCGCGCGCCAATTATCGACGAGGATCGACGTTTCGTACATGCGATAACAGGATCCGTCTGCGCGACGAAACGAACGTAACGAGCGGATAATGTCGCGATTCCTATTGGACGAATGTTTTTTTACTCGCGCGGTGTCATAGATAAGATTGAACATAGCTGACAGTCCAGTTTGCAGTTGAAAACTATGTATCAAAGTAAGTACTGATTAGTTTTCATATACATCATTTCTTCGTAAATTACGCAGTACATATATATATATATATATATATATATATATATATATATATATTGTTACAAAATTTTTATGTTATGTAATTCTTTCCTACATATATTTTGTATTGTATATTCAGAAATTACTAAAATTTTAAACACATCTATTTAAAACATTACTAAACATTACACGTCTAACTTCGTCAATCACGTCGAAAATTAAATTAGCCAGTTGTAAAAACCGTATAGTTGGAATATACTTAATATAGTTTCTATTACAATTAAATTAATATTATACAATTAATTTACTATTCTAAGAAAGAGAAAGAGAGAAAGTTCGATGAATAAAAAAAATATTATACATAATTTAAAAGTGTAGAATAAGATCTCTTTCCTCAATAAAATTAAGGTATATATTTATTGGTATTAAAAATTAATTTGTGATTCTACTTTTTTATTTAATAATATTTTAATACATCAATTTTACAGAAAAACAAAAAATGAAATTTTAAAAGCTTTAAGATCTCTTAAGAAGATGTAAAAAGAAAGAAAGAAAAAATAATTTTATCTGAATTTTAAAAAATTTTTAAAAAAATTAATTTAGCAAAAATTTTACAGTCTCTTTGTGCACTATAAATTGTACACAGAAAATTCAATTTTTTTCCTTGTAAGAGATTTTTTGCAACAGTTTTTGCATTGCTATTAACGCCGTGTATATTTAATACACTATATTTACTTTTATCAAATATAACTATAACATAACAGAATATGTATTGTTTACTGTTACCGTAATGCTTTTAATATGTGTATTTACGTATATGTCACGCGTTGCGCGTGATCTATATATTTATATAATATAACATTGCTATGACCGGCCAGATAGAAATTATGGAACACGAGAATTGTGATGATGCAAAACGAAAATAGCGCTTCATTATCAATTTACGTCATTTACAATAATCAATATTGATAATGTTTTATTTATTAATGTTGCAAGATATTAATTCTTTCTTTCTCTTTCCAAGCATGCATAAATTCTTGTTTTTCTATTAATAAAATAAAGCTAATGAGTTTTCAATGACCAATTAATTCAATGGCAGATTAAGATCGGTAAATCCTATAAAATAGATTACAACAGAAATTAACGTTATATACTAAGTATTATGAAACTTAACAATTATTGGAAAAAAATAATAAAAATTTTATTTTGTTATACAAGATAGATACAATAAAAAATGTATATATACATAAACGTATATATGATTTATTCAACAATGCGACCGTTTCAAATCCCGTTGTAAATTTAGTTTTGGTATCGTAAATTGAAATTGTTCTACATCGCAGGAAATATCGTCAAAATTCGTAATTTAGATAAAGATCGCACAGTATTGAGCCCTGCTTACTGTATTGTGTCGCCGCGGGTGTCGACCATATCTAGATTCTAATCGGTTCACTCGATTTCCTAGTGTATGAATTGCGGTAACGGCAACTACTGCCTGCTGTGAAATACGTCTGACCACCGACGCGGTGTAACTACTGCGCTCGGTATAATTCTAAATAAATTCACCGCTTCTCAAGGAAGTTTATTTCCATCACTCGCAACTAACAAATCTGAATATTCCTATCAACATTTGTGTTATACAACTGCTATTTACCAGGAAATAAACGTAAAACTCTCTGAATTTAATATACGAACTTTATGCCATTTCTATTATAAATTTTATTAATATAGCAATTACGATTTTTTATCAACTTAGACCTTTTTTCAATATTTTCCATTGACATTTTTATTGACATTAATCTGATGTTGCAAATTATTTTTGTTTATTAATATATACTTTTTGTTATCACACATATATACAAAAAAAAATAAATTATTACAGAACTCTGTAAATTTTTACTCAGTACTTTGAATATTTACTCACAAATGGAAAATAAAAATTACACAATGAATATTTATATGCGATATATTTTTAATAGTTAATTAACCAATTTTTGTTGCTCTCTCTCTCTCTCTCTCTTTACAATTATTTATAATAATAACATAAGTATTTATACACAATTATATACAATATAAAATTTATTAGACGTGAAACGTAAATAAGTAAATAATAATTTCACGATAAATTAAAATATATTAAATTACAATTAGTAAACTTAGTAAGAAAACTACGCGAAGACATTTAGGCTCTAAAAGGACTAAAGAAGCTTTTAAAGGATTAATTTCCTATCCGTAATTAGTTAAAGCACAGAGCAACTTCCTGTGTGTGCTGGTTTGTATTTGTTTTGCTTGCCATGTACTTCGTTAGACTTGTTACGACACCGCAATTACGTGCTAACACGAACTTTATAGTCAGCTACCGAAAACTACGGAACTATAGTGACATGGTCACTTCATTCGCGATAATTAAAATATTGTGGAAAGAACCGATAAAATTTAAAAATAAACAAATTGATTAGATATAATCATATTTTAAAAAATTTTTAAATCTTTTCTAAGCATGCGCTGTTGCGTGTCAATATTTACTTAATAGATAAATTAGAGAAAAAATTTTAAATTTATATTGTGTACAAGAGTTTCAATTCTTGACAAAAATTTGTCGATAAATTTTATCTACAAATTATTCGACCAACTTGAAAAGTTAATTCCTTAAAATAATCAATTTCAAATCATAGCTATTAAGATTTTCTTGAAAATTAACTTTAGAGCTGCAAACAATTATGAATATAATTAATCGTATTTTTTATTTAATTTTAAAGTAAACAATTACTTCTTTCTCTGTCTCTGTTTCTCTTTTAATAGATTTATAATTTAAAAGAGAATACAAAAAATATTTAATACTTATAATAAAATTTTTTTTAATCAATTTTAAATATCAAAAGAAAATAAATTGCTAAAATAAAATCTAAAACTCTTTGTACCATTAAATATAAAGTTGCAGTCTTGTGTTTATTTTTAAAATAATTTTATTTAATAATAATAAAACATGAAAAAGATTTTTCAAATATTCTTAGAGATGATGTGCTCCAATTATGAATTAAATTAGCTTACATGCAATCGTAAGAGTATTAGTCACGAATAAGACATTAAAACTAACTCATCTCCTCCGGAAACTCGATTTCCATGACACGGCGATTTATCGTTATCTGATTGCGCTCAAAAAACATTTAGCATTATTGTGTCACATAGATACGATAAATTCATAAAAAATAAAAAGTGTTAGAATATATTATCACAAAAAAAGAAGACTAAAAATGCATTATCATTTATTTATTTATTTATATATTATATAAATATATACTTAGTTCTTGACGTTTAATTATATATTAGTGGTTTTTTTAAATATCTCTTTCTATTTATCTCTCAATTAATCAAAGAATTACGTAGGTTCATATATTTATCTCATAAATTTTTACTCTTTCATTAAAATAAATAGCAATAATATATAGATATAAAGAAGCTTTTGTGAAGAAGACCAAAACAGACAGTTAAAGACATTCTCTAAAAAAGAGTTGAAAAGTGTCCGCTACGCGGCACTTTTTTTATTCAACTGCATAAAGAGAAACCAGAAAATATATTCACGCCAGTCTACTCGTTCAATTTAATAACGTCGGTCTGACACCCTATACGTGACCAGATTTCTATTCTATAAACTGTGGAGCGAAGAAGAGGTAAAATTCTCCCAACTTTTGTAGTAAACGCTGCTCTTATCTTTTCATTAATTATCAATGAATATCTTTAATCTTCGACAGCTGTACGTTTCCAGGATATATTACCGAAGTATCATAGCATATTTTAATTATAAATGTAATAATAAAAGTAATTAAACAATTCAATAAAAATGTGAATATAATTTTATTAACTTATTGCAATAAAAAATAAAATACTTTTATCGTGCAATTTTATACTTTTATTAATCTTAATTCATCTTTGAAGATATAACAAAAAATGTTTATTTTTTAATAGAATATTTCTTACATTGTCTGAAAAATAGGAAAAAGAAAACTCAAATTTGCTTTTTTTCTTACATGTATATATTTTTTCTGTCAAATATATACATACTATACAAACAAATAATGCAAAATAGAGAGAGAGAGATGTTAATTATAAATTATTTACTTATATAAGTACAAATATATCCTTAATAATCAACAGTTTGTATTTATTTATTATTTACTGAAAGGTTCGATTTATATTACGTATACTCGTATAATCATTACGTATATTATATAAACTATATTATTCCGATATACGTGTAAATATAATATAATGTACGATATCTTTTCGCATAAATATTAAAGCTAAATTATTTAATTAAACGACATAAATATAAAAAATATTATCGGAGTAAATATTTAGATATTCGAAGCTTATATAAGAATGCACAAAGTATAAATCTTTCCATCGTTTAATCCCTTATTTCCGACTACGCGAATTTCACAAAGATCTCCTTGGTTCTTCCATTAGGAAGGGTAGAAGGAACTTTATCACCATTCCCAGTGAAAAGCTTCGAATACTCGATCCCGCAACGGCAAAACAGTGCACGGTCACGCGATTCCGCAGATCTTGGCGTAACTTTTTTCCTCCGAATCAGCCGAGCGCGCGCGCGCAGCTGGTGCTTAAGGGCGACGAGAATTTGAATAAAACCTAGCGGCGAATCGGAGGGCTTTGCCTTATCCCAAAACCCCATTTCGGAAAGAAATGCGAGTTACATAGGATGGGAAAACTCGTAAAAAGCCGAGCCCGCACAGTCTCTCTCTTCCGACATCTCGACATTTGCGGATCGCGAATGCTTGAGGAAGAAAGAGAGATCCGCCCTTCTTTTTTTCCCTCTGCAATGGTCGGCCTCGACCATTTGCGAAACCGTTCGCGAAATATTCTCTATCTTCGTCTAGCATCATCCAAAGTCGTTAAGAGCCATCTCTCGCCCGGCGGCGTTATTCCGCGCTATTACGCGAACACGGAATGCACAGCATGCCTATG